GACCATCGTAAGGACGCCTCCAGCAGCAGGGCTAGGGGTAGAGGAGGCAATGATGTGCCAGCCTGGCGTAGAGTATTCACTGTCGGATGGCCAGTGCGATTCCTGGATATGTACTATTGCCGGCCTGATATCGTCTGGCATCCTCCGGAGCCACTGGAGAAGCTCGTGGTACGCAGGCGTACTCAGGCCTCCAGCATTATACGTCGCCACTCTGATTCGAGGGTACGCTGAGCCATGGGTGCCCGACTTTTGAGCTTGCAGGTGAGGCCGTGAATCACTAGTGCGAGACGGGGTGGCACTTTGCCTCAGCGGCTGTTGCAGCTGATGCCACCGCCCTTTGTACATGGTACCCTGGAAAGGACTAGCCTGAGCTCTGCGAAGAGCCCGGTTATAAGCTCGTTTGACTGGGGCCGCAGGCGCGGCTTGATTCGGCTGGAGACATGCAGCGAGGCAGATCCCCAAGAGGCAACCTGGGCCGGGACGCCCAGAGTGTGCATTGATGTTGTGGGGGTGGCGGCTTCGTGAAGCGGCACCATTTATGTAAGTCCCTAGCTTCTCCGGATGTGCATCACGAGGTGACTTCGCCAGAAGCCTACAGGGCACTACACAACCGGATTCAGGACACTGCGGGGGGTGTCCAACCCTCGGCTCAAGGAGGCGCCATAGATTATGCAACGGACAGTCTGAGCTCCGTGCAGAATGATCAGGAGCGCTGTCGTGCACTGGTTGTGCCTCCTCCCCGGAATTGGGACCGGGGGGCACACGAGTCTGCTGTAGATGTTGATTCTGTATGTGAGAGTTCGAATGAGGGAGGGGTTGGGACTCGGAGATTCCATCAGCCCTTGTACACAAGCATCGCTCTAGGAGTCCTGTGTCAGGGGTGCGCAACCAGCACCGCGGACATGCGGTCCCATGGGGCATGGTTTCCTTTCTCCATCCTAACAGCCTAGCAAGATCCCGAGCCCCGTGTAAAATGCCAGATTCACTCATGCAGAAAGAGAGCCTTGGTATCAGCGCCACAACAAGTCTACGAAGGCAGGTACGTATAAGCCGCTCAGCCCTTTTGGCTCGACGCGGGCGTCGATACCTTCGGCGCCTGGGGGCGGTAGGGAACCTGTGTCGTGGCATGCGCTGTGGGATAAGAGTTCCTCGCAATCCAAGATTATGAGTGCCTGGCGGCTCGCAAGTAGGCTGACTTGGTGGTGGCAAGCAGGCCTCAGGGTGACGTGTAGTGTCCACAGGCCGACGCTGACCAATGCAGTGTCTTTCTGCTACTCGCCAAGGTGAGAGGTAATACCGCCACGGGTGCGGTCTAGGTGCCCTACCACTAGCCAGGCTGGGCTCAAAAACACCCACGCAGCTTCGACACCATTGGTGCTCAGCAACGGGAGAGGGCTTGCCGCACTCTAGGTGCGAGAGGAGTTGACCACCGTGGTGTCCTGCGTGATGCCCTGCCTCACAGATGGAACATGTGACCCGCCGCGTGTCGCATGATCTTGGACAGGGGGGTGTTGGCCAGGATTTGGCGTTGTTCCGGAGTGATCGCCGCAGCTGGTGGAGGGCGCGGGGTGGCCCGCTGACTGGGTGGCCGAATGGGCGAGTAAGCCACCGGTACCGGCGGTGGAGGTCCCTGTGGGCCTGCTCCTGGATCGACTGGTTTGTCACCCAATGGTGGCATGAGCCCCTTGGCGACGAGTTCTCTCTCAATTTTGTCGGAGTCCAGGCTGGCCACGGAGCCCGGGGACGCCGGAGAGGTAGCAGATGGCTGCGCCTCCTCTTCCCCACTATGCCACCACGATGGCGTAGAGGCCTGGTAGGTGGGGCTGTCTTGCCCCGATCGTTGGTCTCGAGCTCCACGGGTAGTCTTGGTCCGAGGAGTGGGCCTGGTAGTGGAGGGAGCCCGAGTAGCCTCTCGCGACTTCCAGCCCGTGGCCTTGGCCGGCCGCCTGACCGGTCGGGGACGAGAAGACGGCTGTAGAGCAGTGGCTTTTCCTCGGGCCGCGGGCTTCTTGCATGCTGTGCCGGCCATGAGAGGGGCAACCTGCACCTCGTCGCGAATAGATCTACTAGCGTCCCTGAGGCCCTGGTTCGAGACGAGAGCTGAGAACACGAAAAGGCGGGAGGTCTGAAACCTGTGTCAGTGATGCTCCCACAGTCTGTCAAATGCTGAGCACAAGCAAGGGAGTAGGCAGGACATTGAGGGCCAGGCCAAAACTGTTGATAGCTATGTGCCCGTACTGACCTCATGGAAGGCATGAAGGCGCTCGGCAGGAGATGCAGGGCAACACCGCACAATGGCACTCGCTTGCAGGCAAGACAAACCCCCTTATATGCCGGATGTGCCGGACTGGTCGGCGAACAAGGTGCGGTGAGACTGGTTGTGCTGCCCTGACTGGCACTTTCATCACCGGAAGCTGACGCATCTCCCAAGGTCTCACGAGAAATTCTTTGCGCTGGCGCCTTCGGCATAGGAGCTGCAGTCGCACCCTCGCGCGCAGGAGGAGAGTCTCCAAGCGCAGCCTCTGAGACCGCGGAGGTCGCAATCTCGGCAGGTTGTAGAACGGGGCTGTCGGCTCCAGTGGCACGGCTTGGCGAGAAGGGGGAGCGGCGAAGTGGCAACGCCTCCTTGGGGTCCTTGGCGGCCGTGACAGCCTTGGCTGCAGGCTCCAATGGTCGAGAAGTCTCGGTCCGTCGGGCCAGGGCCTCTTCCACCAATCGCTGCAACTGCCTTTTGCGCCGCTTTTGTCTGGAGGTAGTAGAGGTCCTTGGCGTAGCAGCTGTGTCGGCTGGCAAGGGCTGGAGGGTGCCCATAGAGCGTGGGCTGCCCGTGCGTGTCCGATGGACTGCAGCCAGTGGTCCAGCTGCCGCAGGGTCGATCTCAGCAGCCTGGTAGGTCTGATGGATGTCCTCGAGCTCGAAGGAAGCTGGTGCCTTTGTCTCCACCGGCGGAGAAGAAGTCCCCTCGCCAGCCTGACAAGGCGGCTGCTCCGCGTCGGGGATATGCGTAGCATGGCTGAGCTTTTGCGGGACGAGGGATTCTGGTTGAGCTGGAGGAGGTGGGGAAGGCGAACGAGGTCGAAAGGGATAGCGTTTGGGCTTGGGCCTTGGCTTCGTCTTCGGTCGCGATGTGGACTGAATCACGACCGCCTCATCCTCAGTCTCACTGTCCAGAAGAACAGCTCCCCCGTGACCTTGGCCACGACGCCCTTCTCCAGACTTGGTGGCCTGCTCTCCAGACTTGGTGGCCTGATCAGGCTGCCTGGCTCTGTCCGGCGGATGGACCGAGGGTGGCCTGGTGTAGGCCGTCGGAGGCGGAGGGCTCACCACCCATCTGTAGAGCCGCTGGAGTCTCCGGAGTGTACTCTGGGGGAACTCCTTCTCCGTCGAGGGCAGGATCTGCGTGCTAGCACATATACATACGCGGTCTCCCGTGGTGAAGATCACGCGGCACGAGCTCTGGCCAGGTACCAGCGCCACATTTGGGTCCAGGTCCGTACCTGGGCTGGTGTCCGGCACGATGATGCCCGGAAGGTCCGCGGGATATTGCTGGGTGGCCCTGAACAGACGCACCAGACGACGTGGCGCTAACAGGAGCATCTTGAAAGAGGTAGTCCCAGGCCCAGACCCAGCAGGGGGCTTCCGCGTGGAGGCAGCCGGTCCATGGGATGCACTAGCCCTAACTCCAGGAGAGCCAGAGCGAGAACCAGAGCGGGACCTCCGTCTGGATCGAGACCGCGATCTCCTTCCTGTCCTGGATCTCGTACGGGAGCGAAGTCGCACTCCCTCCGGCTCAGTCTCAAGGCCCCTCGCCCAGCGGCCTGGGCGACCCTGGTTGCGCCTCTGTCGGCCCGATCGCCCCATTAGGTGCAAATGCCTGCACCGCGGCACACGCCAACACACTAGAACCCCAGTATGAGAGCCAAAGGTGAGCAAGGTAGCTTCTGCCAACAGCGCACAGCAGTGGAATCCTAAACAGAATTTGCACATGAGCACAGAGTGCATGGGCCGAGGCGACTGCAAAGGAAGTTTGTCATCTCGGGCCCGACAGGCGAGGACACCTCCAGCCTGGGTCCAGCGAGACTGAGGCTCCAAAGTGCATGTGAGCACAGCTGACCAAGCGAAACCCAGCTTGAGATCAGGACCAGTAGGAGGGCCGTTGCCCGACCTAGTCAAGTGAGTGCAAATCAAGGAGGTGGCGCCGCAAGCCCGCGAGAGCAACCGGAGTGAGGTGCTCGAGCCGAGTTTGGACTTCGGCATGTTCCGCTGTCGAGAGTTCACACGTAGCTTCGAGGTAGAGGACGTGTGCCTCGAGGGTGGACAGAAAATGCTCGTAATGAAGTGCCTGGGTAAGGGCGCAACAGCGATAGGAGTTGAAACCTGCACATTTGCGATACCGTGAGGCTGAAAGCGCCTCACACAGCAGACGCGCACACAGTGGCAGAGTACTCCAGGGCGCTCCCACAACCGCTCCATGCAGAAGTCTGTCCGCACACTCGAGGAGGAGTGGGCAGTCGGTATCATCCGGTACGCGACTCGCTTGCAGCTTATTCCTGGGCTGTTGCGACCTGTCCTGTAGCAGATGGCGTCTCGGAGGAGCTGAGCAGCCGGGACCTTGGCGGGCAAACAGGGTGGAGGCTGAGACGTCGGAGCCCGGCATGGGCTGCAGCCTGCTGTCGCCAACTCCGTCATTTGCGGCAGAAACTGCATGCAAGGACCTGAGCGAGCCGGCATGGAAAGGGAGGGGCGGAGCTGGTCAGGCAGGGGCCCACTAGACATGTCAGGATGTGCTGTCTTTTGCCACTCCCTGTGGTCAAGAGCTGCGGCATCACGGTTCGACAAAATCCCGGACCTCCAGGCCATTCCCAGGTCCAAGCCCTGCTCTCTCCTGTTCTCATACGTCGGATGGCATGGTGAGACCGGCCAGGACAGCGTTCCAGAATTGAACTGGTGTGCTGGTGGCGGGTGAACCTGTAGTCGACGTAGGGGCAGTCTCCCCAGCCATGGGTGGTCGCGCCGGAGGTGCTGGCGTGCCCCAGTGGGCGGTGGGTCCACCACCGGTAGAAGCCAGAGACGTCGCCTTCGGTGTCGTAGCCCATAAGGAGGCAGGGATCGGAGGGATCGTGGAAGAGCTGGCTGTAGTCGGTGGTAACGGAAGAGCAGGAAGAGGAGGGGTCGACACGGAGTGCGGCGTGAGCTGCGTAAGCCGAAGCTGCCACGCACCCTGCAACGTGAGGACGAGATCCTGCGGGAACCCGCCGCCACCCCCACCGGCCGTGGTGGAAGGCGGCGGTCCCGCCGGTGTCGGCACTGGGGGCCCCGACGGCCCCGACGGTCCAGAAGGCAAGGTGGAGCCAAGCGCCGGCGAGGGACCAGCCAGGGGCGCCGCCTTAGCCGCGGAAGAGGCTTTTGATGGAGCCTTGTGCGGCGGCCAGACAGGCACGCCCGGATCAGTCGTAGGGTCCAGCATCTCCGGTGGTCCAGCTTTGGCCTTCGGCGGAGCCCGATGCGATCCTCTCTTGGGCGGTGGTGGCCCCCATGGTTCCTCCTCCGAGGAAGAACTAGTGGAAGAACTAGATTCCGACTCCTCAGGCTCGGGGTCTCGACGGTCACGTCCTCCACGCGGAGTCCTGGTGCGGGGTCTCCCTTTGGCTGCAGCCGACTTGGCCTTCCGCTTAGGTGGCATTCTAGCTGTCGCCCGCACCTATTGTCACTGGAGCCCTCACGCGGCACAAGTTGGGGCTGCAAGTGCAGAGATATGGCATGCTCAGGCACATCTCTAGTCCGCGTCAAAAGCTGCAATTGCAAACCGTGAGCAGGCTCAGTGGCTGACGCAGTGCAACTGGACTCGGCTGAGCTCCACGCTTCAGGGCAGGGCCCAACGGCAAGCGGGAACCACAGAGCTAGAACCACGAGAGGCAGCGGGGCTATGAGCGCTCGCATGGCACTACAGAACTTCACATAATCAACAGCAGACTCGAGCCAGAGCCTTATGTATATATATATATATATATATATACACATACATACATACATACATACATACATACATACATATATATATATATATATATATGTGCACACACAGGGTTCGCTTTAGGTCTTCGTGGGGTTTGGAGCTTTTCGCTTCGGCATATACCTTCGAGCACGAAACCTTTCGGGCATGAAAACATGGTGTGCCTACCAACTCTCGGCCCGCACCTCTACTTGCACGCTCCGAGGCACTGATGAACACTTTCATAGGTAATAGTACCCTCCAAGGAGGTTCCAAGATGTTCTAACTGGGGTCCTCTGAGTCGGAGTCCTGCTGGTACATCCCACTGAGCTAGGTAGGTTTCCTTTCATCATCAACTCCCGACATTGCGGATTTTTGCGGCCTGCGCAAACATGACTTGTGCGTCGAGGGGTACGTCCAAGTAGTTTCCCAGTGGTTTATGCCATCAACATGCTCTCTTGTCTACAATGCTGTAGGCCTGCTCAGTGCTTCTTCAAAGATGTCAGCTCTGTTGCAGAACGGTCTAACCCAACCCGGAGAATCGGAACCAACGGATCCTATTGCTGCGGAACAAGGATATGCCTGCCGTGAAACATCCTCGTTCTAATGCAGAGTCGTTGTCCTGCTGACCAAGTGATGAGAAAGCCGACCGAGTCCATGAGATTCCAGTCATATCAATCTTCCTTGCCCAAGTTTTCTGTTTTTCTTGAATGATCTTCGCGACGCGCATTTGCCAGTTGTTCTGGATGGGAGCGAGAAGCTCGCGAGCCTGAGCTTGGAGGCCTTTCGGGAGCTCGGCGAAGGGGGTGTTGACTTCAGTTGCAGGGCGGAACAGCGAAGCTTTGGAATGATGCGTTGTCCGCAGACTGGGTAATTACAGCAACCAGTGATAGTCCTGTTTCTGCAGTAGCTGGCCTCTAAAACCATTAAGGCGTACAAAGCCCTAAGCCAGCTTCGCTACTAATTCACAGCCGAACTCGGGTTCTTTCTCTGTGCTCTTCTGTGGACAGGGAGTGAAGGTCTCCGTGGCGGCTCAGCCGAAGGTGCAGCAGCAGGAGCAAGTGCCTGAGGCGCTTTTGGGCATTTGTGATTGCGGTCACCAAATTGAGAGCCTTTGGGTCTTGAAGCTCGGTTCTTACCGTTCTGGTGGCCGGAAATAGTGGCTCTTGGGTAGGGAGGCAGAGGCGGGTCCTCGTAAGCCGGCCTCAGTTTTCGCAGAATTTGGGTCAGCATTTTTGAAAGCCCCTGCCTCACCTTACCTAGAGTCTCCGTTGTAGTTCCGTTTTTGGTTAACCAGCTTTAGGGTTAGGGTCCTACAATTTAATAGAACATGGTTAACCAAAAGAAGGAACTACAATGGAGACTTACATACGACCCGAAGCTGGTCTGGAGCTGCGTTTGATTTAAGCATTGCCCAGAGAGCCCAAGACCCCTTAATTAAGGAATATAGCTTAAATCATAATATGAAGCCCTATATAATTTAAGCCATATTCCTTAATTAAGGAGTATTGGGCCCTCTGGGTGCTTTTTGAGTCCGAAACTGAGAGCTCAGGCGCGCACGTGCAACCCGAACCTTTGAAGCTCTTCACGCAAGGGCGAGTGGCAATCGGTCTAACCACAGTAGTTTGTTAATAATAATGGCAACAATGAGTGTAGGAATACTTAAAACAAAGAGTAAAACTAAGACTAAGTGGAAATAATCATAATAGTCAACAGTGGTGGCAATAATGATATCTATCTTTACGAGCAGCTGTACATGATCATAACAACCACGGGAATAACAAGAAATAGCAGCAGAGATAACAATAAAAGGGTAGCAGTAGTATAGCAACAATAAGGCAAATTGCAACTGATCTCATTTACTAGCAATGGCAGTCACAACATTATGCTTGATAGTAAAAATCATAGCAGTTATATCAGTACTAGTAATCAATATTGCGAATACCAATAAAGATGTAAAGAATAAGATCAGTCAAAGCGACACGAATAATCAGACTAACGGAAAAGGTGGACAACATGAAGAACCAGAAACTGATAACAATGAGACTAGAACGAAAAAATAAAAACATTAAAAAACATCGTAAGAACTATAAGAAAACGAGCAGTAGTAGTAGGTCTAGTAGTACTAAGAACAGGCATAACGATAGATACAATCATTGTCATAACGAAAAAGGCATAATCACAACAATGCTGATAGTTGTAATCATCAGAGTAACTATACTAGTACTATCACTAATACTCGAAATAGTAGTAACAGTAATGACAAGCATAACCACAATACGAAGAGTAATCCTTATAACCATCAGCATATTCATAATGATGGCAATGCCAGTAAAAATAATAGCAATAAGAATCATGACAATAAGGATCATAGCAATAAACTAACTATAACGATAGCAATAACAACCAATAATACTATTAAGAATCATCGTAACAATGACAACAACAATAGATATAGTAGCAATATGAGCAGGTGCCGGTGAAGGTGCCACACCTTCGGCAGGCCATATCTGGAGAGTTGCGAACTTCGAGCCAGGAGTTTAGGGTTTAGGAGCTTCGGGTTCAGGAGGCCAGGGCCTGGGGGTTTAGGGGTTTAAAAGTTTAGGGGCTTTGGGGTTTAGGGTTTAGGGTTTAGGGATTTAGGGGTTTAGGGGTTTAGGGTTTAGGGTTTAGGGGTTTAGGGGCTTTGGGGTTTAGGTTTTAGGGGTTTATAGGGTATAGGGTTTAGGGATGCTCAGGGTTTAGAGTCTTCTGAGTGGTCATTCGCCTGGCTCGGCGCTGTAGAACAGTTTTCAGGAACCTCGTGCATTGCTTTCACGGGTAGCCGCTCGGGCTTTATTCTTAAGATATCCTGGAAGGCAACTGAGAATACCTCTTTAGAACGCAATTAGCTTCAAAACCCTGATTCCATCAAAACCGAGTGGTTGGAAAGATGCCCAGTCCCTGCGACTGTTGCACTTTCTGGGTGGACCAGTCACAAAAACCACCCAAACGAGCTACAAGAGAAACTTGGTTCCGAAGCTGCGAACTCAAAATCCTACATGTAAACCCAGCCAAGCATAAACCCGAAACCCGCAAGACACTGAAGCCGGAACCACCCTCATTATCCTCCTCAGCCCAAAGAAGCCCTCGACAGGCTCCCGTGGGAGCCAGTTGCATGGATTGCCTCCCAGACTCCTGTCTGCAGTCTACGGTCTTTAGGGTTTTCGGGTTTAAGGTTTTTAGGGTTTAAGGGTCTTAACAATACCCTAAACCCTAAACCCTGAATAGGCTTTGTCGGGTTTAGGGTTCAGGGGTCTCCTAGCAGCTTAGCTCTTCTTGCTCTTGCACCACTGCCTCAGAAGTTGCCGCGGACTCCGAGGTCACCTTTGGGATTGGGCACCTGAACTCCACTCACCGGGCCCGCTCCCGTTTCCCATAGCAAGCAAGCACAAGGAAGAAGCCTGGGCTTGCATTGGGCATGATAGATAGTGAGAAGTTATTGTAGAGGCCTTCATAATTCGAACAGGGTTTGGGGGGTACATTGTACAAGAATCATAAGAAGGAGCCCCAAAACCCTATTCTATCACTTATTAAGGCCCCTACATTAGAGTCAGATGAGTTGTGCAGGAAATTGAAAGCAGGAAGACAGATCCATGGGCTTCCTTGCACTGGCAAAGCCAAGCAAGAGCTCAAAGCAAGCAGCGTGTACCTTTGCACGAAAAGGGTACCAGCATCCTTCAGGAAGGGCTGTTCTGTTGCTTTTGTGCATGGACTGTGTGTCAGCTTCTCTTCTGACCCGGATCTGCATCTTCTCTGACTCTCTTTCTGCAGGTGGTGGTGATGACGTCCCGGGACGCCGACTGTGCTGCAGAGGCCGACGGCGAGTAGGTTTCCCGTAAGCCCTCGGCCCTTAAACCCCGACCCTAAACCCCAACCCCCCTAAACCGCTTCAGGTTGAGAAAGTTGGTGGCCGCTTGGCAGCCACACAACAGCGGGCGGTGCAGTGTGGTCTGTGATGGTGCACGAAGGTTTCCAGTGCAGCCCAGGTGACCATGCACGGGGATGGCTGCAGCAATCCTGCCTACGACCTCTACCTGCGCCTGTCATAGCAGGCCAACCTCAGCCGTAACATGGACATGTCTTTCATCTGCTTGGTTTTCCTTCTCTCTCTGGCAGCATGCAGCATGGGCAGGTGTCTGCTGCTTCTGCCGTCGAGCGCTTACCCAGGCAAGCTGCCCAAATGAAGCAGAGCTCTCAGATGCAATTCATAGCACTTTCCGCGAAGTGCAGAACAGAAATGTGCAGAGCAGATGGCCATGAACTCTGAACCCCAAACCCCTATACAGCCGAAGCCTTAAGCCCTGACATCGGGAACAGAGGAGGGCAAAACGGAGAGTGCACAGGACGCCTTCACGCGGGGTGGCCGCCGAAAGCTCAGGTGCCATGCTGGAGACTCGATGCGGGTTTAGGGTCCAGGATTTACCCTTTAAACCCTCCATGCTGAACCAGTCCGAAGCCTAACTCTCTAATTAAAGCAGAAGCCTTAAATCCGAAACCCTTCAACTGCAGGCGTCATGTCCTAAGTTTTGTTAGCCCTGTGGCTTTCGGAAGTTCTCCTTTACGCTGAATGTCGTCGCGGCCAGGGCGGGATTGCCAACGATGTGCGAGGCCCGGGATCGTGACGGAAGTAAGGGTAGCTTTTGGTGGCTATAGATAAGCGGTTCAAGGACGCGAGGCAACGAGGGTTTATTGCAGCTTATTGTTTACCGGGGACCTGTGATTCACACCCCGTCCTTGCTTTCAGGACCACGACCCATAGACTATAAGATGAATTCGTTGCTGATGGAGCAGCCAACCTTGCTTTAAACACTCTTACCTTTGGATTCCTACTCTGACCCTCATCTGACATAGGCCTCGTCATTCCTTGTATGTGGACGAGGGGTCTGCACGACGCAGGCCTGCGCATTGGGAGCTGCCGAGAGGACCGGGACTCTCGAAGTGGGGTCGCTCCTAGGGTTGAAGGCGAACTTGGGGTCTTAGGGTTTCGGGTTTAGGGTTTCGGGTTTAGGGTTTATATGGGGTTTAGGGTTTAGGGTCTCAGAGTTTCGGTTTAAAGGGGTGTAGACCTGGGGTGCCAACGACTGGCCCTGAGTAAAGCTCTGTTGCCTTACTCGTTCGGTGCAATTTGCATGAGCTCGGGCTCTGCAGCCAAGCAAAGGTTGAACGCAATACTGCAGGAAATCAGAAGGGACCGGTCGCTCCATAATGAACTGGCCGGGCTCTCAGCAGAGCGTTGCTGCGAGAGCTTGGTAGGGATCCTCTTACGCAAGCAGCTACGGTACAAGGTACACCCTCACTGCCATTGTGGGTGCTTCCCTGGCGTTCGTATACCTGCGAAGCCGGGTGCTGAGCTACAGCTCTTAATGGTCTGGTAGCAGCACCAGAAATACGCGGAAGTCCAGATCAACAGGCCTGCTCAGGGCAAAGCCAGCCGATGAAGAGCAACGCGCATTTCCACCACCTAAGTTTCCGACACGGGGACCTCTCCCGCTGCCGCAGCTGTCCATAGTAGAGCAAGATGATTGCCGTCAGCCACCAAGCGGCACGGCAAGCACAGTCTTGCTTGTGCCTAAACTGCTGCCGTTGGTGGGGATGTGGGCAATGCTCTGACCCGGTTGCTCAGCTAGGAGCGTCATTCTTGTGTCAGCGGGCCAGAGGTGCACCGACCCTACAAAGAAGAATCATCTCAAATTCAGCTAAAGGCATACCCCGCCATCGAACTGGCCTCTGAAAAAGCAAGGCCTCAATAAGAATAGGGTTTGGGGGTACGTTACACTTCTTTTATAATAAGGAGCCCCCAAAACCCTATTCTACTTCTTAAGGCCTCTACATTGATATTGACATCGCAGGGTTTCATGTCGGACTCAGGAGCCTCGCTTCCACAGCAGGTGGCCATTGGGTGCTGATCTGAGCCTGCTGCACTCGTTCCCGCCCCGTTTTTTCGGCTTCAAGTCTATATAGGGGCTACAGTACTATAAGGGACGCTATACCGTTTTCTATAATATAGAGGCCTTAATAACTACAATAGGGTTTTGGGTGTTGGTGCTGCTTTTTCTGGTCCTTCTTAGGCTTCAGGTTGTGACCGCGGCCTCTGCAGCTTCTGAAACAGTCTTCCTCGAATTCACCAGTGGAGCTCAACTGCTTGCCAACCAACGTTCTCAAAGCCACGCAATTTCCCAACAGTTCGGCGTCTGTATCGGAACATCTCCAACTTCCACCTGTAGGTCGATTCTGGCTGCCGTGCTGGCATGTTTCTTGGGTGCCGAAACACGTAAGCCTTGGAAGCCTTCAATGCCTGGGGAGCTACAGGTATTGCAAGTCCTCTTGTTTCTCGACACGTCCTGCTTACATGCCGCAGAGCTTGAGGCGCGTAATGAAGGAAGGAAGACAAACAGCATGCAGTCAGTATTATACTGAGGTGTATACTATACACCTTAGGCAACGACTACACCAAATGTGGAATCGCAGACAGCATTGTGATGCACAGGCACCGGTTGACTTATCTATTTCGTCATATGTTTCTGTCGGCATGCAATACACGGACCTAGACACAGACACACATGCATGGGAGAACACTCTTGCATGTTATGTGAGAGAGAAAGAGAGAGAGAGAGAGAGAGAGAGAGAGAGAGAGAGAGAGAGAGAGAGAGAGAGAGAGACGAAGGAAGAAGAGAGATCACGACAGTGACCCCTAAGCCCGGGCAGAAAGAAAGAGAGAGAGAGAGAGAGAGAGAGAGAGAGAGAGAGAGAGAGAGAGAAAGAGATATGCACCATAGTCGAGATACTGGATGGTTTTCCATTCCTGGCAGGGCAGTAGTAGTAACCACGGGGGAGGCCCAGCCATGCAGTCTTGAGGTAGCATACTTATGTTGGAACATCGGGGCCAGGCCACCCGGATTTAGGCACAGAGCGGGAACGCTGCCCGAGTACCTGCCCTCGACAGTACACCTACTCTACTTCTGTTGTCAACTCAAACTCAGGGACCGCTCTTGTAGCCAGCCGCCTCCGCCGCTGCAAACCACCCTCTCGCACACACTCGGGGCAAACAGAATGGCCTGGCAGAACACCTGCAGTGCGAGGGCGGGCAGCAAGGCATGAGCAAAATTAGGAGGCACCTACCCAGACTACGGTCTGTTGCGGGCATGTAAGCTCATCCTGCGGAGTGCTCGAACCTTTTTCGCACGTAAAACCGTGCACACCTCCAACCGAACGGGCTGCTCCCGCGGGGGCATGCCCTCAAGCCTGGGGAAAGAAAGAGAGAAAGAGAGAGAAAGAAAGAAAGAAAGTAAAAACGAAGGAAAAAAAGAGAGGATGGTGCACTTCGACCGGATTCCGATAATCGTGAAGGGGGGTTTATTGGACATGGCGGGCGAGATCGCCATCAGCAAGAGCACGCTAGTGGCCCATGCCTAAATAATAAGCCAGGTGTGTTTTTCGGTGTTTTGTCTTTGTTGTTGCCATTCTGCTGCGCTCCCCCTCCGCCACTTCACTATCATCACGACCAGTCGGACTAGTCATATCTTGGGAGCTTGACAGCCTGCTTCCAGCTGTGAAAACGTGAAACAGAGTCAACAAGCTCGGGATCCTGGCAGCCCAGTTGCTGGGTCTTTGTTGGGAACAGGCTGGGAAAAACGCGAAACAGAATCAGCAAACGAGCCATGGGACGTCACAGGGCCGGGCAACACGGAACCAGCAAACAACCCAGCTGACGGCAGCTGGCTGCTGACCGAAGCCACGCATGCACAAGCACACGGCGGAGGAGCAGCAGCACCACCAGCATTGGCCCCACCACAGCAGCAGATGCAACAGTACCAACACTCGCGGCATGCAACCGGGCAGGATGCCAACTGAGCCGTGGGGCCGCTACGCGGCACCGTAGGACGCAAACACAGACCCCTGGCACAGAGACTGTCACAGTGAGGAGGAACCACAGCAGCCCACAACAGAAGGCACGACAGATCCGGCAACAACAACAGGCCCATGGGACCCATGGGACACGGACGACGTGGGGTCGTCAGCAAGGCGGCAGCAACAGGAGAACCAGCAGCCGCAGCGGTGGCAACATCACACACCGGAGTCCTGCAATACAGCATGCCACCTTCATCCAACCAGTGGGGTTACCAACTCACCTACATCCCACCGCTAACCACAGCGACGCCCACCACACAGCAGACATCAGCACACCAGCAGCAGCAGCAGCCGGAGTACCACAACAGAGGAGAGAGCAATGCGGCCACCGACACACGGGAGCAACGCCCCAAAAAGAGCCACAAGAGCTGCTACAGCAGCCACCAACCAGCGCCTCCAGGAGAGGGGAACATCAGCCACACACCACACAACATTTGTCAAGGCAGAGCACCAGCAGCCGAGTGTGCAGCAACACAGCCCATCCGCAACCGGTGGGGACGCAGCCTGCGGCACTCCACCGACGCAGCAACCACAGGCAGCCACAGAACAGCCAGACCACCGCGCCGCGAACCCAGCGCCGGACCAAGCGCCACAAAGCAGCGGCCAGCCAGGGACACACAGCGCGGCCGGAACGGGGCACCACGCACATACTTGCACGGGGGGACCCAGCAGTGGCAGCACCAAACCGCAGACACAACAGCAACACCAGCAGCCGCCGCCTGCGCCACAGCCACAGTGGCAACCAGAGGAATTGGAAGAAGACACACGGGGGGAGCTGGGGGGAGGCAGAGGGGGGGCACTCAGGCAAACGCCCTACCACGAACGACACGGGGACCAGCGCATGCGATTAAAAGCGGCAGTCCAGCAACGTGGATGGCAGAAGCGAGAGGACGTGGAGGGAGGTGGCACGCCACGTGAAGGGAGGAGGAGGAGGAGGAGGAGGAGGAGGGGGAGGAGGAGGAGGAGGATTCTGGCGGGAACATGATTGGCATTTGTCCCCCGGGCGAAGTGTTTGGTCTGGGCGGGCATTGTGCTCGCCATGAAGGGGTTCTTTGTGCATACGAAACCAGTGGCCACAGGGGGTTCGCGGGAGCCCGGCAAGAGCGACGCCGAGGGGGGAGAGCCCCCCATCGGCATGAACACAGCGATCGCACTGCTACCATGTGGGGAAGCATCAAGCATGGCCGGGCCGAAAAATGGCTGATGCAGGTGACAGCAGTCAGCCAAATACAAGACCCGGACACAACACCAAAACGCCCAGGTGCAGGACACATCCTTGAGCAACAACAAACAGGGGGAGGGGTGGGGGGCATGCCTACTGGTAAACATCTTGCCGCAACTTCTGGCACACCGGAGAACCGTAGCAGAGCGACCCAGAACCAAACCAAAGTAGGGGGAGTGAGCCGACACACAACCTTGCAACAGGAGATTCATGATAGGAGATTTGGTATGGTGTTGTAGGAAGCTGTTGCGCAGTGTTGTTGAGCAGTTGTGTCGGCGCGCGCCTCATGTTCCCTGACTGCAGCAGTACGGTAGTGTCCTGAAGAGTTGAGTGTAGAGTCAAGAAAGAAACCGAAGCTGCCAAGGGGGAAATCAGTTTGCCCTACTCGTACGGGGCTTTTGAAGTCAAGGGGCCCAGCTAACAGAGCAAGCCTCCTAAAGCCGGTGCACAGACGAGGCCTACGCATGTATGCACCTATGCGTGCATGTATGTATGTAGGTATGTATGTATGTATGTATGTATGTACGTGCTAACTATGTGCCAGCAACCAGCGGCAATGAGCCACAGTATCTGTTGGTAAGCATGTGTTAGTTTACCTGAACATGCGAGATTGTGCTTTAAAGCAAGGCGGCCAGATACCAAAAGAGATATGGAAAATCTCGAGAGATCGAGACACGCGTAATGTAAAGTGAGACATGGCAGGGCATGGCAGGTTAGGAGCATGCCCGACAGCATGTAGCAGGCACACATAGGATTTATATATATATATATGTATATATATATGTATATATATATATATATATATAGACAAGGAGGTATGGCCATGGCACACAAGTATGTAACGAGCCGTCACGATGTTGAGTCTGGCAGTATTTCATCACACAGTGTCAACGAGCATGGGAATCTACATGTGTCTGGTTAGTACTTATGATCTGATACATACATCAGTATGTCATCATATCATAACTACTAATCTACACTGGCTGACGAGGATAACGACATACCCAGAAGCAGATGTTTGATCATACCATGTTTAAGTATCCTCTTAATCGAATACAGCAGATGAGAAAACGGAAGATTTATGTATCGACTACTGAGTATTGCAGAATGACTTAGGGCACTACGGCAACGTGCGAGGTACAGCAGAATACAACAGCAAGGCAGGAAAGCCTAGCATATATTAATGTTGTAGTCATAGTCCTTGAAAACAAGTTAAAGATCTTTCGGTGCCAGGCGGCTACTTTGAAGCTGTGGGTGTTGCGCTGCTGCAGCCTTACATGTGTTGATGAGAATATTTCGAAGGCAAAGTCCGCCAAAACGACAGAAATCCTACCGCCAAAATGATGCTTACGTCAGCTTGTACCCTGTCAAATTTCAACACTGGTGCCGCGATTTGGAGTCCCTGCAGTGGCACGTAGCCCTTCTCCACAGATGCAGAAGAAGTCCTGAAGTTGTGCTGAAGCTTTTGGCTTTAGAGGTGATATAGTGGCCTTTATAATTAGAGTAGGGTGCTGGTGCTTCCGTATTATAAATATAAACAGTATAATATGCCCCAACCCCAAACCCCATTCTAATGATTAAGGCCCCTATAATACACTTTCTTAAACAGGCCCTGCTGCCGGAGGTGGCCCAGACTGCTCGCTCTTGACACAGGCCTTTCTCCAAAATACATACATCCTTTTATTTTGGTAGTTTAGTTTACTTGTACGAAATTAAGCCATACTGTAGTGTACTATACTGTACCACATTATACGATACTGTACTATACGATACTGTACCATAGGATACTATACTACACTATATCGTACCATATTATCTTCGATTTTGTCCGAAGTTTCTTTTTACTGGAACTGAGGCTTCGGCGGATTCGAGGGCGAGCCCTTAACTCAGTAGTCGGGCTGTTGTGGAGAGGTGTCACTTCGAGGTTCTATTCCTTTAGAGTAGAGTTGTGAGAAGGGTTTAGGGCGTAGAGTTTAAGTTTAGGGTTCAGGGTTTTGGCGGAAACTGATTTTCTAGGGTTTAGGTTTAGGGTTCAGGGTTTTTTGCGGGCATCAGTTTCAGGTGTTTGGTGTGAGATTTCAGTACCAAGACTTCCGGCTGCCCCCCCTTGGAACTTCGCCTCTTTGCTGGAAGTGGGCAAGCTACTCTCACACACATCATCAAGCAGAAGGACCCTGAAGCCTAACCCGAAGTAAACCCTGAAGCATCATCAACAATGAATACCCTTAAAACCCTAAACCATCATCAGTCATAGGGACCCGCGATCCCCGAACCCAAAGCCCTAAGCCATCATCAACCGGAAGGACCCTGTAGTTCTCAGCCCTGAATCCGCAACGATTCTCATACAAAGACCAGAACTAGGACCCAGAGTAGGCCCTTATTCCCTTTTTTAAGGGTTCAGGTTCCCTTATAAGCCCCTTTAAACCAAAAAGGGCACCCTTTTTATGCCTAGGTTACTCTTAGGTCTAGGAAAGACTGTGTACCCGGAGTGTAGAGCTGACACGAGGCTGTCGCTGGATGAGAAGCCCCTGGCATTGGTTGGACAAGGATGTTAACATGTTCGCATTGTCAGGTTTAGTATGGCTGTTGAAACGAATCGGAATAGTCTTACCTTGTAGTATCCATCTACCCCATTTTAGTTTCAAGGTTCTCTAGGCTGGGACGGGTGTAGCTTATAAGCCTGTAAAACTTTAAAACTCAGGGAGAAAGACTTCAACAGTTTTAGTTCGTTTTGCAAGTGAATTCGGGCATGTCATAATTAACTTGTTAGCCCCTAAGCCCTAAATCCAAAACATGTGGAGAAGGAGCACCGCAATGGGAGCGCTGTGTCGACGATGACGCTTCCCCAGCTCGCCAATCGAAGCTCATCACTATCTTGCGAACATAACGCAGTTTCCAAGAACAGGGGACCCTAATGTAGTACCCAGAATGCTGGGATCCTTATTACAAGGGCCCCGACATAAGGTACCCCTATTTTCGGAAACTCCCATAAGTTTAAATCCTAAACCCTTAGTCCTAAGCCATAAACCCCTAAGCCCTAAGCCCTAATGTAGGAACCTGATTAAGAAACCCGGGGCCTATAACCCCAAAAGAGTCGGATTCATATAAGGGACCCCAATGACGGCCCAAGGTTTCTTAATCAGGTTCCTACATTAGATAATAGTAACGATAATAATAGTAATAATAATATTATTGTAGAAATATCAAAAATAAATAGATAGAAAAATAGTATATATATATATGTATATATATATATATATAGAATATATATATATATATATATATATAGATAGCCCTAAGCTTGAAGCGTTAAGCTCCGAAACAAAAGTGGGAATTCGAGGTCTGGGTCCGGAGCTTCTCGAGCGTGCGGCGCTCCCCTTTTTCAGAGGACTGCCTACGGTTTAGTCGGTTTAGTCTTTAGGGTTTAGGGTTTAGGGCTTTTGAGGGTAAAGGTCTGCGGCTATGCGCCCGGATCTCGTTCAGAGAGCTGTTTGAAGAGTACTGCTACTATGACTATGGAAATTATTAGTACTACTGCAAGTTTAGGGCGACCTGCAGTCTTGGCCCGTCCCTGCCACTCTTCAGGAGGATCTGGCGAGGCACGTCTCAGTGCCCCAACTTTCAAGGGAGGTTTGCCTACGCCTGCAGATTGGGATTTCTTGGTTCTTCGTCCATGAGAGTTGCAATGAGCGATGCCAGCATTGCTGCAATAGCTTGTGCTGATCAGGCTTTCCATGCCAATAACGAGAATTCAGCAACAAACAACAGCGATGGTAATATTTGCATGTTGCAATGATGCGTTCTATGACCATCGTGATCGAACTGGTGGTTTGTAGTTACAGGATCCAGATAACTTGTATGAGGAGAAAGAAGTACTGTGAGATAGGTGAATAGCAATTTGGGCAGCAAGAGTCAAGGTCACTGATTACTCATGATGACACTGACACTTACAAACCACAATTCCTAAATACCCCAAAACTCTAAACTCCTAAACCCTGAACCCCAAAATCGTAAACTCTCAAATCCTGAACGCCACAACCGCGCACCACAAAATCAAAAAACCCAGCAACAAGTGTGTAGAGGTGGTGGGAAGCCGCGCTGGATCAGACACCCTGGGAGCGCCCCAGGCCCTTCAAAAGGGGGTCTTTTTTCCTGGATCGAGGTCCGAGTCAATGGGGTTTGGGTTTAGGGTTCGAGGGCTAAGGGCTTAGGATTTGTGAGGTGTAGATGTTCGGGTTTAGGGCTCCCTCCTCGGCAGCTTCTTTATCTCGAGACCTGGGTCGGCGCGCGGTTTGCAATCCTGGGCGTCCGTCTGATTTATGGGTCAGGTTGGCACTCTAGTCGGGTTGCAGTAGCTTCGGAAGTTGTCTCAAGTTGCTCACATCATCCTCGTCATCCTCGTTGCAACATAAGGACAAGCAGAGAAGCAACAACGTACAACATGAGGACAACCAGAGAAGCAACAACAGCTTATGTGGCGGCACCAACAGCATCAGAGGGGACGACAGCATCGACAGCGGGAACCACAGTCGCAACACGACAGGTGCTGCAGAAGCATGTCGATCTCAGGCCCGAAACTCTGAACAAGTTTTGAACACTAAGCCCTACACCCTGCACCCTAAACCCTACACTAAACCCTAAACCCTACACCCGACACCCTAAACTGCCCCCAAGTCCTGAAGCTTGAGGGTACGCGGCGGGCGCCAGCTTCCACGTTCGGCGGCCTGGCCTGGATCCCAGCACTCAGTTTTGGTTTAGGGTTCAGGGTCCAGGGTTCTAGGGCTCTAGGGTTCTAGGGCTCTAGGGTTCTAGGAATTAGGGTTCAGGCTTCTGGGGTTTAGGGTTAAGGTCAAGCGTGGCTTGCCGCCTGAGGCTGGGGTTGTCGTCGGAGTTGGAGATGTGATGTCGAACGATCAAGCCTCCGACCGTTCCGTCTTGTATCATACCCTAGAGAGGTTTCAAGAATAGACGCTAGAGAGGGCAATTCTGGCAACCGCCTGGATGGGCGGATTTTGGGCAGGGGGAATGGCCCACCACATATCGGAAGCCCGCGCTCACACCCTCGTTTTAACCCGTGCTCGAAAGGGCCTCTTTCGGCTTAACCTTTTGAAGATTTTGTAGCAAAGCGAGAAGCTTACGTAGTTGCCAATATTGTTCCGTAGGGTTCCTTAGTATATCTATACAATTGCCCGAATCAACCCCAGAACCCAATTCAAATTATGGACGCCTTTACGTTAAGCTAAGTGCTCCCCGGAGCGTCTTTTGCAGCTCCATCCAGTCCAGGTTTGTGAAGAAAGGGTGCTCGTGCTGCTACGAGTACAACGGGACTCAATGGCAAGGAGCTTGGCTGTGCTCAAAACCCGAGAGCACGAGGAGTAATGTTGGGGCCTTCGTAATTAGAATAGGGTTTTGGGCATTCCTTATTGTAACTATAGTATACTATACCCCCAAACCCTGTTCTAATGATTAAGGCCCCTGCATGAGCATCGCAACCGCAAGCATGCTGTATGTGTCGGCGCAAGCAAGAGCTGCAACCGTCGTTTCAATACCCACAATACGCACGAGGGCAAGAACCCAGAAAGAACACCAACCTTACTAAGACGACAGTGCCGTACACGATCGAGTCTACGGTACATAAGCACCAGGGCATTTCATAGACCAGGCACCACATCTAACAACATCGCTGCCATCCTGTAGAAGTAGCCAGGATTGTACAAGCAACCACCTGAGAGTGATGATGCCGGTTTCCGATGGGTCGTGAGTGCAGCAGGCGCATCAGGACATTGGCCCACGCTAGTACGCGACATTGTGACATTGTGCAAGCTGTGCTTAAGTGCTGGAAAACTTTCGTGCAGTCATTCGTGACTCTTGCCAGTTGCCTAATAATACGGCGACAAGTTCTGGTACCTATTCACAGTCAAGTTTTAACCTCTGCGTTCAAGGCCTTCCGTTGAATTCCCTGACTGGCTGCTGGAGGCAAGCGGTCTTTCAGGGACCCAAACGCAGCCAGACGAACGTCCATAGTTTTCCCTTTGTCCATGGTTGGCATTGCAGGAACAAAAGTGCCAAGGCCAAGAAAAGCATGACACAATCTAGCAAATGAGTCGGGGGCGGGCGAACTCGTTCTATTCTTGCTGATGAAGATGACGATGGCAATGATGGCGTGACAACAGTGGTGCTGGTGTTCTGAACAGTACTGACGCTCGCAACAATGCACTCATTAATATAGCAGTAGCTACTAGTCGATGCATTTTATTCATAAATGTATAGATACTACATACACATACATATACATATACATATACATATACATATACATATACATGTACATATATATATATATATGTGTGTGTGTGTATATATATATATATACATATACATATACATATACATATACATATACATATACATATACACATACATATACATATACATATACATATACATATACATATAAATTCATGTTACACATACAGATGCAAGTACATGTGTATACAAATATACATATACTTGTACATATGTATATGTACATGCACATATACACATACACATACATATGTATATGCATATGCATATGTATATGCATGCATAAGCAAGTACAAATAAATAAAAGCATAAATCAGCAAATAAGTATACATACATACATATATATATAGTTAAAAGTACATGTTCTTTGTGCATATACATATATATATATATATATATATATATATATATGTATACACATGTGTGTGCATACCGTATCTCGCTATATTTTCCTATATCAACAAATCTGTATGTACACGTTTGTGCGTTTGTTTACATTTATATGTTATCGAAATATATACACACGTTTATGATGTACACATCGTTGGCTCAACAGACACAGAATCTCAGAAGGTCGAAATATGTACACTCTTTTATGATGTACACATCGCTAGCTCCACCGGCACAAACATACAGACTGAGAGCCAGGTGGAGCAGGCAGTCTGGGCGGTGCTACGTGAGGGCGAAGGCATCCTGCACAGCGGCGACTCGAACTTCGCTGTGGATGGACAGACCTCGTACCCGCTGCAGGGGCAGCGGAGATTCTTGAACCCAACTCGTGCGTCGCCAACTTCTACGAAGACGGTGCCCAATCCGTGGTGCTCCCCCAGCTTCATATGCTTGCTGTGCGTAGCAGGGGGCATGCAGGAGGAAGGCGCGTGCGTCGTGCGCCTGCAACAGGATTGGCACGCGGACAACGAACCCTTGTTCGAGGGACTTCTGCGCGACTGCCAGGACCTGAGCTGCTCTTGTCACCACGATGCCAAGACGTCGTCGGATGCTTCTGAAATCTTCTGAACCCCAGATCTGCGAAGCCCCGCTCAGACTTGCGACTAGAAAGACTAGAACGTTACAGACGGTGGTGTGCAGACATACACAGGAACGCCTGAGGGGGAGAGAGCCACAGAGAGAGACAGAGAGAGAGAGAGAGAGTGCAGTTGCCTCAGGGATGCACAATCTGGGGCGGAAGAACCGTCTGGAGGTCACCTACGAGTTACGTGTACACCCTGCCCAACACATGTCTGGCATCCTATGGTGTTGTCCAGTACTGTCGGGGTGACCGTAACCCTAGCCTGTCGCATGTAATACCGCCAACAGCGGGCGGCCCCCAAGGGCGGGGGCTCGCCTCCCTAGCCTGGCGAAAGAAAGAGAGAGAGACAGAGAGCGAGAGAGATAATCAAGCACACAGCGTAGACAAGTGCAAGGCAAATAAATCGCTAGACATTTGTGTACATGTATACATGTGTACATACGTATATGCATGTATACATACACACACTTCCTTCTTTGCACATGCATATGCATATCTTTATAGACGCAGCAGCCCTAAATCCAGAACCCGAACTCAAAACTCTGAACCCCGAACCCGAAACCCTAAAACCCCAACCCGCAAACCTCAGGTCAAATTGTCAGCCTCTCCCTTGGGGAAGTGCGACGCCCCAGTGGTCCTTGAGGCAAACTCCTATATCAGGAGTTTCTGAAAATTAGGGGTACCTCACTTTGGGGTCCTTGTAACAAGGATCCTACTATTCAGGGTACTATATCAGGGTCCCGGTCCCCTGTGTTCGGAAACTCTTGATATAGTGGCCTCAACAGTTTGAGTAGGATTCCTTTTGAAGGTTCCTTTGAAAGGGTTCGACACCAAGGGTTCTGTGATGTAGTTAGTGGCCTTAAGAGTTACAGTAGTGTTCCGTTTGCAGAGTTCTTCTGTGCGGGTTTATAGGGGTTTACGGCCTAAGCCTAGGGTCTGGAGGTATTTGGTTTTGGAAGGCTTAGGGTTTGTTTCCCGGGGGCCTGGGGATTCAGGGCACAGGGTCCGGGGGGAAAGCATGCAAACCGGCATGCGCGACCCCTCCGCATACTCTGAGCCTTTCGCCTGAACCCAACTTCCAACCCTAACCCCCTAAAACCCCTAAAACCCCTAAACCCTAAACCCTTAAGCACACAGAAACCTCCACATTGAATCTAAGTCCGGAAGCCTAAGCCCGTTGGTTTGTGAGCTCAGACCCGACGTTTCGAGCTGCGGCGGCGGAGAGATCTCAGCCCACGGCTTGGCCTCGGGGTTTAGGGGTTTAGGGTTTCGAGGTTTAGAGGGGTTTAGGGGTTTAGGGTTTAGGGTTCAGGGTTTAGAGGGGTTTAGGGGTTTAGGGTTTAGGGTTCAGGGTTTAGAGGGGTTTAGGGGTTTAGGGTTTAGGGTTCAGGGTTTAGAGGGGTTTAGGGGTTTAGGGTTCAGAGGGGTTTCGGGGTTTTGGAGTTTCGGGGGTTAGGGTTCAGGGGTTTACGGTTTGGTGCTGCACTTGGCGGTTTAGGATTCAGGGTACGACCCTCAGTTCTACCCCCTAAGCCTTAAGATTCATCCTTCACCTTTGCAGGTCGGGGTTCAGGGCCGGAGAGGCGGCTTTTTGCGTGTTTTGGGCTCAAGGTTGAGGGTTTGGAGTTTAGGAAAGTTTAGGGGTTTAGCAGGGTTTGGGAGAGCCACGCCCACTCAATGCATGATAATGACAGGGTATCGTAATTTCTTCGCGTGTAGTTCAATATGCTCATAATTATTACTGTCGCGAGTTTCTATGACAGTGACTAGTACTACGACTGCCACTATGTCATTCCATCGGTTTTTCTTCGTAGTGTTATTGCTGTGCTATGGTTACGATCCTGGCCATCTCTTGTTGCTACTGCCCTTCGAGTGTCATTGCAATCATAACTCGAGTCTTATTGGTTCCCTGTACGGCACCCTACAGCTTCTATATGACATACCCTTCGGCGAGCCCTCTAATTATTTCGGCTACTCCCAGCCGTGGTCAGGCAACCCACTGAAGCACTGCGATCGAGTTGTGCTGGACCTCCATGACGGGGACATTGTCACGATGGAGGCAGAATCGGTCAGCGACCAGCATCATCTTTCCATGCATTGGTTTCGGACGGTGTTGACAACTAGACTTTACATGGCAGTATCCCTTGATGCAGAGTGTCCTGCCTCAAAATGTCAGTGGCAAGCGCAGCATCTTTTAATAAAAGGCCGCAGCAGACGGGCTTCGATGCGATATAGATTTGGATTCCAAGCAGCTCGACCAAGTTTGCACCTGCAGGGCTGCTTCCAGAAGCACTGGTACCATCGAGTCCCCCGGCAGCCGGGAGTCATTGCGTGGGACACCCAGCTGAAGGTTTCTGCAAGCATCTTCAAATTGGACCTCCTTGTTTGGGGGAGTCCTCAGGGGCTCAGGGGTGGCCGCAATGCCACGGCCAGCTCATGCATGAGCCCGGGATTTGTTGAATCGTGTTTGGAGCTGTTGCAGAGGACTGCACGCTCACATCGGGGCGGGGAGGATGCTTGCTAGGCTAGAAGAAGAGTTGAAAAGGTATTGAAAAGAGGATCCCTCCAATCAGAACAACCACATCATGGGCTTCGGAACCGGGTTTTTCATCTCGAAACCCTAACCCCAAAACCCTAAACCCTAAACCGTCTCTGCGTGGAAGGCCTCGGATCAACCTCACTTGGCGCACCATCACCTGCCATTCCGTGCCACGGCCACGATTTAGCCCTTCCTAGCTCCTCGGGTTGAGTTCTGGGGCTTTAGGGTTAAGGGTTGCTAGTACGAATACTTATAATTCTTATGTTAATACTAATCATTCTATTTTTTACATCAAAATTCCAATATTTACACAAATTCTTCTATCATTCATACTAATGGTAAGATTGACAGGGTAGGTTTCTTCAAGCCGGAAGCGACATGATCGTCGAGAAGTGTGGAGACGAGCTTGCAGCTACCTACCCCGGCCCCTCGCCCATGTGCAGGGATTTCAGATGCGGGTCTGTTCCAATCCACGGGTCCAAGTACCTAACAATCATATACTCTCCAAAGTCTCAACCTACATAACTACTATCCTAAAACCGAGTGCCTTGTTATTGGGTCCTTTGGACCCTTGGGGAATGCGCAAGGTCCTGAAACTTGGTACAGCACGCACACTCTTTCCATCTTGAGCAGAGATGTCATAGGTCCTCGACGGCTTGCAGTCAAAAGTTTCGTGTTTTCGACGCTGCTCACGAGGCAAGCTGTGCGATGCACGTGGCTGCATGACTCCAACCTGGGTCAGCGGCATCGTGGGCAAGGTCACTCTGCATGCTGTGGCGCAGAGAGTCCCATGTGTGTGCATCCGAGAATAGGGGACCCCAAATAGTAGTTACTATAAGGACCCCAAAATTGAGTACCCCTTAGTAACTCCCATGTCACAAGGTAGAATTCCACCAGCCACCAGCCTTTGCCAGGCCTTCTCTGACCTCGTCGCATTGGCACTGGCACCCGGTGGAGTTTCGGAAGTGGAAAGAGTGTCATCGCGATGGCACAGTAAGCCCGCTTGAAGATGCTATGAAAGGTGCTGGACGTTGAGGAGTTGTCTCAAGACGGAGCATTAGTTGAAGGATCTTCCTTCGTCACATCTCGCGTCGGCCACCTGGTGGAAGTTTGGAGCTTTTGGCAGATCTGGTGGCTCGCCGAAGACGGCTGCAGGAAGACGTTGGGTGGGCATGCCGGAGCTACATGAGGAGCACTACGACGTGAGCAGCACACCCCTCACCACAAAGTCAACGTTGACAAACAGTATTGGCAGCCTCGGCTGTGGCACCTATAAGAAGCACCTTCGCAGCTTTGACGCCGCTGAAAAGGACGAGTGTGCCCGTTGACTCATGACTGACACAGTCGAGGAATAGACTGGCATGGAGAAGAGCCGTAGCGAGCGCTGCCACCATGGATCGGGTGGTTGAACAGAGCACGTGAAACCTGTGTGACCTTTGTGGCTTTGTGTGTGCCACTCAGTAATTTCTATTTTTGCGGACGCCATTCTCCATTGCCCATTCGTTTGATTGCACTCTACCCGCGTAGCAGGCACCTTCGCATCTGACATGCCTTGAAGACAGATCATGATCATAAGGTGCATGTGGTTAGAAGCGGCCGCCGAAAGTGCTTTAAGCTGGCCTCATCGCCCATTTTCACTCTTCCAGTCCTTCGCCATGGTAGCGCAGCGTCCTTTGTGCCTCGTGCCGGAGGCTTGCTCGGTGGTTGCATAGGCAACAAGCCCAGAAGAGTAGCAATATTGCCAACGGACCAGTTGAAACGTTGGGACAAGCTTCCACCACCTTTGACTTGCCTTCATGTTGTTCCCCAGCTGACGACAGGCTCTATATGCATGTCAGGGATTAAGGGTGGGGACGACGCGGGAGATCGAACGGCTCTCTTATGACTTCGCAGTGGTGTTTTGTTGTGCTGATAGAAGCAGAGCAGCAGCAGCCTTGCTACTTCCAAAGGCCCAGGCCTCCTCCCTACGACCCGGAGCCCGATAAATGGACCCAGATTATCCAGCGAGTCATCCTCAACAGGGTGCCGTGATACCGATGGTGGCCTTCTTGGCGAGGAAGAAGCTCGCCAAACAGCAGGCCAAGACTGGGTTGCTGGATGTGGAACGGATTGTATCTTATATTCTTGTATGTTATCACGCAGCATTATGCTATTTAAGTTTGCATGGCATTGTATGGCATTGTATTATGTGGTGTGATGTCATATAACATTGAAGCATCTTCTGTCATGTTATGCTAGGCTGAATATGTGTATGCACAAACACATGATATCCATATCTACGTATATGTACATACATACATACATAAGCACGCAAACCGTTGAATATATGTATATGCACACTGTGTCAGAGTGTACTGCATTGCACTAATATTATATATATATATATATATATATATATGTATATGTATGTACGTATGTATGTATGCATATATATATATATATATATATATATATATATATATGTCATGTGGCACTGTGTTATGTCATGTCCGACTACCTTCTATATTAAGTTGTATTATATGGTATTGTCTTATACTATCCATATTATACTAAGTTATGTGAAATCGCGTTTATTGCATTTGTTGTATCGTTCCATATGCTACTTTAGCATATCATATTTTCGTACATTATTCTAGGGCCACAAAACATAAAAGCGTACTAGTCTTGTATCCAATTATGTTGTAATATATACGAAAAGACATAGAACAGATTAGAATAGAACATAATTTGACGCCGTTTTAGATACGATCAAATAGTACTGCATAACATTATGTATGATTATACTGTGCATTCTACTACAATATATTGTAATCTTACATAACATAACATAGCATGTTACCGTTGCTTATGACGATATGACGACTTCAATTATCACATAGTACAGCAGAGCACAGTACAGTATTCTCAGATTCTCTACGACAATACCATACACCATACAATCCAATACAACACAGTATAGCATATTATAATAGCCTAGACCATGATACAATAAAGCATGATATAGATTTTGTGTAAGCAAAGACAAGCTAAAACAAATGACACAGTAACCAAGCAGTCTTACGGCTTCCGGGGCTCCCAGCGCTGCACTTCTCAGCGTTGTGCCTCACATGTGTTAGGAAACAGAGCGGAGTGATGACATGATGCTTTCAGATTATGTCATAACTTTGTAATACACTACAACACAGAAAGTTATGTTACAATAGTCTATACTGATAGACTCTACCATGACATGTTTTAGTATCATGTCATATAATTGCTGTGCTCACACTGGCAGGTATTGCTCTTCCAGCGCCGTGAGGCTATGTTTTGGGACTGACTCCTCGAGGAGAGGACCCCAAAGGAGCGAAGGTCGTTCGGGCTCCCGTGCCTGTAAGTTGAGTGGCCATTTGGGTTTAGGGTTGACAAAAGCCTTTGATATGTCTTCGAGAGATCCCCGATCAAGGGGGTAAGTGGCCACCACTCTTAAACTCAAGAGTGAGCGTGAGGCGTCCAGCTTACCTGCCACTCTGGTGTTGTAAGGTGGCCAAAGGCCTGGTCAGCTAGTCAGTGACGGACATCCGCAGTCTGTGAAAGATGCACGCGCGGGAGCAAGCCCTTTCCAACCGTGCAAACAGCTGCTCGCTTGGCTTCGGCCCGCATTCGCGAGACAGTTGCGACCATCTCCGAGTGGTGCTTCGCCACGATGTGGGATGGGATGAAGGTTGCTGGAGGCAAAGTCAGGAACTTCCGCCTCTTCAGAAGAATCGTGTTTCTGGATTGGTCTATGCCACGTTGGCGTACCATCAGCCTTATGGGCTTGAGGAGTTTCGGCGGGTTTCACAGTGCATACCACATATAGGGCGAAGGCCACGCTAGAAGGCTGCAGGTCTCATTCTGGATCCTCTGGTGCCATCCCATTGTGCCGAAGGTCCAAGGCTTGAATCTCCATGAGTGGGAACTCTTCCTGCAAGCCCCCCCCCCCCCCACGGCAGGTTCTCTGTTTCGAGAGCTCAACAGAGAAGCCATGCACAGCTCATGGTCTCAATCTCGAGCTTGTGTGCTGGGGCGAGGCTGAATCCTTAAGCCCAACGCCTTCAATCTGAAAGCTCGGACCATTTAGGACAAGTGCCAAATTCTCGGAGGTGGCGTCGAAGGAGGCATCGGAAGTGCCAAGGCAGTATCACACCGTTGCGCTTCGCATGCTGAAGACATCGGCAGGGTTCCTCTGCAAGCATCCCTCGCGTTGACCTGCAGAGGTCACTTCTTGGGCTTTTGACCTGACGCCAGCTACCCCAGGCCCTGAACCCCAAATCAGCACCCGCCATCGCAAAGGCCCACTTGCTCAAGCATGTGCTGCAGAAGGTGCCGTTCCTGCCCGACAAGGGCGTTCGACCTTCTGCGATCTTCCTCTCTAAGGGCAAGATGTCCGTGCAAGACGTGTTCCGTCGCGGTCTACCCATCCTTGCTGTGCAAGCTCACGCTTCCACGGATTCTGTCCACTCCTGGTCCGCGGTAAGGTTGGACAGGTGGAGCTCGTGTGATGGTGTGATGGGTTCGGACTGCGCAAGTGGCGCGAAGATCAGAAGTGTGAGGGTTTAGGGGTTTAGGGGCTGTTGGGTTCGGGCTCTAGGGGCTTCTGTGTGGCATGAGTCCACAGCACAGTCGGCGCCCCGAATCTTGCTACATGCATAGAAACAGATAAAAACGGGCCTTCTAGGTACTAAGCTGCGTTATGAGGAGCAGTATTGAACCGAGGAGTTCGCAGTGTTGAATATAACACATGGTTGGTGAGTGACCGGTCTGCGCATACACTGTGGTACAGATTTGTTGACGAACGGCGGCCAACTTGTCCGAACTTGTGCCAGGATCCCAGAAACGATGCATCTTGTGCCGAGGCTGAGCCGTGAACCAGGGGAGAAGCAACGTTGGTAGCCATGTGGCGCTTGATGCAGTTCGGGCGGATCACTCGTTGACTCACGGGATCCGGGCACTTCCTCTCCGACACATCCAGCAACTCTACGCTTGGCCGACAGATGGTCGAATGTTTACTGCCCTCTTGGGCTTCTCATGCTTGCAGCAAGCTCTTACTTTGAAGAGCTTGGTGCAGAGGACTACTCATCCAAAGCCCTTCTTCTGCTCTTGCGGAGTTCAACTAAGGCTAGGCCGCTAGGCTATCGGGTAAAGCAACGGTGCATCGTAGCTAAGAAGGCCGGAGTTGCTGCTCTAAGCTCAGGGCCTTGGCCAGAGAATGGAGCTCTACCACTGATGTCCGGCTGAGTCGGATGAGAGTCTAGCAAGCCCCTAAACCCGAAACCCCGAAACCGTAAACGGATCTTTCCCTTAAGGCTTTTCCCAGAATCTCTTGCCCACAGTGTGCCATGCTCCTGCTTCAGGTCTCGCCTCTGACGCATGTTCGCAGCGCAGATGTCGACGGCCTCCTCTGCCGGTCCTTCTGCACCCCGGGGCCCAGAGATGCCCAGGGTAGCCCCTGCAGAGGAATATACTGCTCGTAAAGCAAGCGCTGCCAGACGGGCGGTTGGTTTCCCGGAGCGCCGTAGCCCCGGGGCCTCCCTCCTCTGGCTGACTCGAGCAAAGCCGCTCATGTCGGCACGCTTGTAATGCGGGGCATCCTGCAATCTGCACGGATTCTCCCAGGTCCGCTGATGAGTAGCGAGATCCCAGCTACCCTGTAAGAGCCCCTTCCTGCCCAGAGAGGCCCCCACAGGCAACCGCCAACACGCCGTAGT